TGTATGTATGTATGTATGTATGTATGTATGTATGCTATTTGTGTATGTATGTATATGTATGTATGTATTATGTATATATGTATATTTGTCCAAGCATGAATATGTATATATACCTTTTATTTAAGGTGCATGTTTCAAGATTTCCATACATTTACTACTGAATTATTTACATTCCGTACCTGATTGTAAGGGGATTTTATATTGTCGGTCATCGCAGAATCGCAATGGTCGTACATGATTCTGTGTTTACAAGCATTGCTCGTTTTAAAATCTTTCCGCATTGCACCGAATCCCGTGAATCCAGCTGTAACTATGTGCACATCTACTAATCTACATCTTTACTCGTAGGCGAACAATTTGCTGCATGCAACCCTTCATAAGACAACTCTGAACCTGCTTGATACTTGAGCGACACCAATAGCAGAACTAAAACTCCCGCCCTTTCGTTTCGTGACTCAGGAGCTCGTCGCAAAGCACGGCCCTTTTAGTCGTTGACCTCCAGTACGATTTCTTACCGGACGGAAGTCTGGCTGTTCCGGGAGGGGATGAGATAATCCCGCACGTCCTTCGCCTTGTGAATGGGTTCAACGAGAAAGAAAGAATTGTAGTCGCAACCCAAGACTGGCACCCGGCAGGTCATGGTGAGTGTTTGTTGGAAATGCCATAGATCAGAGACCGCTAGTGTAGTGAGGGATGAAGAGGTGAGATCTATGGTGTGCTTCATGTGTTGGTGTTTTTCATGATGTGTAGCTTATGCGAACGAACAACCACACAGGAAGCTTTGCCAGCGCTCATGGCAAGGATGTATTCAGCATGGGAACACTTGGGGGCATCGACCAGGTGATGTGGCCGGATCATTGCGTACAAGAGTCACGAGGTGCGGAGTTGCACGACGATCTTCCGCAAGACAAAGTCACTAAGGTGAGTGCCGGTTGCAAGTATTAATGGATTTACTGTATATATCTAGTTGCGTAGATTCTAGTCGGTTCAAACTGTTCTTTAGTGTTCGATTTGTAATTTCCAATCGTGCACAGATATTGAGAAAGGGCATCAAGCAGCACATGGATAGCTACAGTGGCTTCTTCGATAATCAGGAACACAACGACACTGGCCTGGATTTGTATTTGAAATCCGCGAACACGGTATGTTCAATTTTGACTCGAATGCCAGCACCTGTGAATTTCGCAACAATCTGCTCCAGCATGATGCAAACCATATTTCCCCCTCCCCCCTAATTTTATAGCAAAGCGTAGTGGTTTGCGGGTTAGCTACAGATTTCTGTGTGTGCTACACCGCACTGGACGCTAGGAAACTCGGATACAAGGTGTATCTCGTTCTGGAGGCTTGTCGCGGCATAGACAGCCCGCCCGGATATGTCGACAAAGAAGTGCAGAAGATGGTAGATGCGGTGAGTCCGCGCAAGACCTCGAGTAACATGTGTGTGCAAAGCATGCCGACACGCACAAAGTGTTCACATACGAGCACTATCCCCGCCACTGGTGTATTTGTAGGGGCGCCATGTATTTGGATAGAATGTACTCCAGGATTTGTACGCCTTTGTCATAGTCTGTCTGGACAACTCGGCTCGTGGTGGGCTCTACATGAAAGTTGGAACTAGTTTGTGTTGAAGTTTATATATCGTGCCGTCACGAAATCATGAATACAAACAGCTCCGTGAACAGATGGCTTGCATTAAAGCTCTCTTGTTTTTGGCTTCACACTATTCCGAATTGAGTCGGAGCATTTGTGTTTTAAATGCCTGTCCACTTTATTGAGTTGCCCCCACTCACAGTATCAATTTTTCATCGCTGAAACAGGGCGTCGAAATTGTAACTACGCAACAAGTATTGGCACTTATTTGAATCCGAGACAACCTAGCGCCCACCACTGGCGGAGATCTATCGGGATGCTTCGAGAAATACTCTACAGCCTATATCAGCTTAATAGGCACTCGTACTTGACTGGGGTGCTCCAGAATCTATAGGGTGGTGCCTCACAAACCCGAAATGGCGGGGTGCTGTACACTACAATGGGTTGTGATCCATACGTGCTACATTACAAATATGAACTTTTGCTTATAGGTCTACACTATTGGGCAGTGCTGATGTCTGCGACGAGCACTTTAAATTTAATATATAATAAGACAGGCACCGCTGTCAAAATACATAATTATCGTTGGTGATAGATTTCTCCGAGCTACACCTGATGAGCATGTCGTAGATCGGTGTGGTAGAACGGTTAACTACCTGTTCTATCTCATCGTGTACGTGTGCACCAATAAAAAATATTATCGTAAAGAACACGGACCGATCGCCTCGTAGAGTGGTCAAAGAGTATATGTGCGCATTTTAGTTGCACAGACCTCCTAAACCACCCATATATGGATTCTTATTTGTTCCTAGCAGGAGGCGTTAATTTTAAATGAGTTTTATTAAATTGTATACTAGAACAGGTAATGGGATGTTCTGTGCAGTATCTAGTTGCAACGTTTGTAAAATCCACTCACACCTATTCATCAGATGCAATCGTATTGGGATGCTACATATATCCGCTTTATTAAAAAAAGTATTGATGAGGGATTTTCTTGGAGAATTTCCAGTCACAGACTGAACAGAAGGTATATTCTTGGCAACGTAATCCTCATCTGTATTGAGCAATCATACGGTCGCCAATCAATTGATGACACCTCGCGGTCTACTTTCTCTGTGCATGCTAGGATGCATTGATGTTTATGCGGTGCTGATTTTCATCTGTATCTCCCGGATCCCAAGGCTTATCGTCGCTATCCGTGCAAGCCGGTGATGAAATACAAAGTGCTATAGTATTATAAACTATCAGTCACGTAGCAAAAATCGAGAGGAGATATCAGTCTCAGCGTACAGATGCCGGCTGTATGAAAGCGGCGTTGTCTACTCCCCCTGTTTCACCTTTTCATGATCCATCTGTGTTCTCTTTGCAGAGTGATTGTACTTCTACACTAAAACATTTACCAATAACTAAAAGCATGTCAGTTATTTTTTTAGGACTTATATGGGTATGTGGACAGCACGTAGTGCCCTACTTCCAACTCGTGCGAATATTAGCCTTTGCAAGTCATCGAAGTATCTGTTTTAGAAAGAAAAACACAAAGCGAGACTTTATGGGCTATGGGGTGTACAAAATTTCAATTTGGATAACTACTTTTTCCGTGCTATACCCATTCTGCCTAGTTTTTACTGTTTAAGCACAAATAGGCATACTACAAATAAGTTTTAGTAAGCAAGAACTTCGACAAGCCTTAGTGTATAAATACTCGATTAAAAGCCGACATGGATAATTGCTACTAAGCATCCACTTTTAGTATGAGAACTCCCAGTGATCTGACCGTTAGAACCAACACCCAGCACGTCGCATAAATATATTTCTCAGCTTAGATACATGAGAGCTGTGAACTTCGGCTACCCCACAATGAGACACACTTCAATACAAGTAGGCATATATGACCGCTAGTTAGGCTTTACTTATATAAAATTTCACAATCACCTGATTGTCGAAATAGTTGTACAGCAAATCACGTATTTCTATATCTCTGTTTGGACACAGAAAGGCTGTGTTTATGGTCGGACTCAACTCGTTTTTGAGAGTACCATAAGAAATCAGCACAAGCACTGAGAAGAGTAATTCGTTTATAGATAGGTTCCTCTACCTTTAGCTTCTATCTGTCAAGTAATTTGGCCAATGGATTGCGCGGAAAATGTGGGCAACGCCGAACGGTAAGTCTATATGTGACCCGAGCAAAGCAACAACGCTGAAATTGTTTGACACCTCTGGACTCATAGTAACAAGGCCCTTATATACTAACCATACAATATTCGAACATGATGTACCATAAAAATATCAGAAAAAGAGTCGAAACACGCAGATCTCTCACTCCTACATGAGTTATTGATACTAAACACCACGTTGTGTGCTATAGGATACAACGGAAAACATACATCCTCAAGCGAACAAAAAAAAGGTCAGAACCAGTGCGAAGAGCCTTCGTAGCCATTGTAGCAGCTAATATCGCCACATACTGATCCTAAATATGCTTAAACTGAAAGCATACCGGACGGTATAACTACACACACGCACGTTCTTTTACAGGTTAGAACTTCACTGCTGGCCCCAGAGCCACATAATGGGCACTTCCAAAATTTATCTTTTTAGATTTTTTATTTTTATAGAAAAGAAAATTTGCTACATATTTTATTCACGATTTGTGGCCGATAATGGAAAAAATGTGATGACACATAGCGCCGCGGTGGCGTCCGCCAAAGATTTGGTTTTACGATCATCTGTGGCCGTGTTCTCACATACGACACAGTGCGGATGGTTCAGCAAGGACGTTATGAGACAATCGCACATCGACGACACAGGTGATAGGATATGCATAATCTTGCACAAAAGAAACATTGCAATCTGCTTCTCTAATATAGAATCGTCGGATCGGATCTGGTATGTTATTCTTGGAGGACAACTAACGCACACGTGTGTGAGGAGTTCGTATTTTTTACCACAGCATATGAGATGGTGTGCGTGCATATCCGAATATAGCGGAAACTATCACTATAAACACTTGGAACTGATGAAAGTGGTTAAAATAGGCTCTTAAATAACCTATAGCGATTTCACAGACAGTCTAGGTACCTGCTACATACACAATTGGACGAAATACTGCACACTGCAAACACAGCAGTCATGTTCAGACACATCGTTTCCGAGATATACTAAAAAGTTGACCAAAGTAACAAGGCTAGTATGACTAATTAGTATGAAATAACTAGACAACCTATATAACGTACACGCCTGTTGAGCGTCTCGTCGAAATTTTCACAGCGTTTGAGATGTTTTGTGCGCCAACACGAAAATAGCGGAAATTACTACTAGAAGCGCTTGGAAGTGGTGTGTTTTCAATATGCCCTTGAATGATCTGTAGTGTTTGAATAGTCAGTCTAGGTGCCTGTTATATACACAAATAGATGGCATACTGAATACTAAAAACATGCAGTCATGTTACAGAGACACGTCATTTTCGAGGAATACTATAAAATCGACTAAAGTACATGGTTAGTATGTCTCGTCGATGTGGAATAATTTGGCGACCTATATATTTCTAACAGCTTTAGGCTCAAGGTTGGCGGCGTCGGCTTGACAAACGAAAAGGCCCAGCCTACGTGCCAAAGGCTCGAGTCCTGAAGATGAGGCGCGTACCTGTTATACGGCGACCACTATGGTTATATGTATGCGTAAACAATCTTGGTAAACACACAGGAGTGACCCACTACTTTTTCGTCTCAAAACTTCATTTAAATTCTATAACATTCACAGCATACATATTTATACGATAAACTTAACTCAGATCATCAGGCCCTTACATTGCGGAGAGCAACTATGGAACTGAAGCAATCCTATCAGCTTACTCGTGCTCCGCGGACGGTGTTCCCCCTAACAAAATCTTGAGACGGCTTTTTTTAAATCTTCCACAACAGCAACATATTTTAGACTATATGCTTAGAATCAGATAATACATAAAAATATGTAACCGTCCAGTTTTGCAATAAGTGTCTCTGATCTTCAATAGTAACAGTTAGAACTATAAAATACACCTTATAAAAGCATGTAAATATACAAAACTAACTTGTATGCTATTTGAATTACTAGCATATTTCATTCGATGTGAGTTTTAGTGCCCCTATGCGCCACCATTTGCCACCAGATATGGGGAAATTTACCACTGAATCCATATTGACATGAAGAATCTATAGAGATATGAATAATCTAAATCAGTATTCGCAATCAAACGACCTGTCAGATTTCTGTGATCGCCGTTAGAAAAAAAGGGGAGATTCTCAAGTGCGGAAAATTGCCTTTAGCTATTCCAAAACTTTGCATGGCGAGTGGGACTAATATGAGCGCGAAAGGCTGTAAGCATTTGATATACAAATAGCTGCATGTTAATATGTCACGGTTAAAAAAGTTTATCTCTCATATGTTTTATGTGATAGATTTCTCTAAAATACTTCTCCGTCGCAACAGCATGTCGCAGCCCCTGTTTTTAGGTTCGCTTTTGTCATTGGTTAATGTTCTATATTATCAGAGATCTGTACACACTGACACTTTCTTATGATGAATATGCGCTCCAAGAATACCATATGCTTTTTTTTGGAGGTGTGGGGTTGATGACGTGCGAACGAATCGCGATTGGAGCACCGTGGTGCATTTGTATAGTGTTGGGCACAGACTCAAATGATAAAAGGCCTATAGTTTTCAAAATGGTGAAGAAAAAGGTCCTATCTTTTCTAAAACATAGTTGAGTAAGATCCAAACTAGTATTTTTGCACAAAAGACGAGTCAGAGTACACGCATGTAGCACTTCACTGCATCGTGACTTCACACAAGGGGTGTGCTATGTGCTGTTTACGACAACTAGGTAAATACTGCCCCTAATCAAAAATAAAAAGTTTTATATGGGCGCGACAACTATCGGAAAGCATTGTAGTAGTTTTCTATGGTACTAGATACTACGGTATTCCCAGGAACCGGCTGCAAACTGAACGATATAAGCACACAGGTGCATGTTTCCGTGCAGGGAATGATTGTGCCTTTTGTAAAATATTCACACAGAAATGTCTAAATACAGTCTCCTGACTCCCGAGTCCTCAGGCCCTCCTGTTCAATGATTTCGGAATTATTCCAAAAATATTTATATTGGTCATGATTTTTGGCGGCCTCCAGCGAGTGGCGGGCTGTTTTATTTTAAAAAAATAAACAAAACAAAAGAAAAAATTGACAATATTATTATATAGAAATTTCTGTATTTGTACTGAGTGTATTGAGTTTTATACTGAAATGAAGGTATTGATATCGAATCATAATACTTAAATATTTCTATATTTTCATCAATTATCGACTATTATTGGAAGTTATGTACTGTCTACAGGGTGAGATAGTACGTTCCAATGATATTAGCAATAAATTTGAGAATAATTGAATGTAAACCCATAGGGAACGTTTTTTTGACAGAGATTCACAACATGTCAAACGTACAGATAGTAAAATTTCTGAGTATGATCAATACATGATTTGATTCGCTTAAAAGCCGCTACAGCAATGCGAATCGACATAAGTGATCTCGTAAATCAAGCGGCATTTCAGACGCAACGGATTGTTAGAAAATTATGTTGAAATCGCCACAGATATTTCTGTGGGTTGGTTATCAGTTGTTGCGAAAAAGGTCCATAATGCCGAACGGCCTCGTAGGCTCGAAAATTTAGCGAAAACCAATGGGATTGCAGAACTGCAGAAATCATATAAACCGACGAATTTCATACTGCTAACGGACAACGACTACAAATAGTCAAAATAAAGCTAGGACCGTTGCATACTCTCGTTGGAATTAATTCTCGATAGACACTATACAAAATGGTTGCTGCAGCTAAGACAAAGCCCGAACACCCCAAGTACTCTGACATGATTGTCGAGGCTATCACCACCCAGAAGGAGCGTACTGGTTCATCTCGTCAGGCGATTAAGAAGTTTGTTAGTGAGAAGTACAATCTTGACACCAAGAACGACGTTTTCCTTAAGGCCGCACTAAAGCGTGGTATCGACACTGGACTTTTTGTGCACCCCAAGAACAAAACTGGTTCATACCGCATCGGTGTGCTACCCAAGGAGAAGAAAAAGGTTGCCCCCAAGAAGAAGGTGTGTGTATTTGTAGTTCATACATAGATCTCATGGTTTTCGCTGTCGTCTATTTTAGGCACGCAAAGCCTCACAGCGATTGGGATCCTGACTCTGTTCATAATTGCTTTTGCTTATCATATCATGTTTCACATTATAATCCAGGCTGTTGCCAAGAAGCCCGCTACCAAGAAAAAGCCCGCTGCCAAGAAGAAGGTTGTGAAGAAGGCCGCTCCCAAGAAAAAGACGGCTGTGAAGAAAGCTGCACCCAAAAAGAAGCCCGCTGCCAAGAAGACCGCTGCCAAGAAATAAGTGCACAATGTTGTGTACTTAACCATGGCAAGTATCTTAGAGCATCAGGATCATGTTTACATGGAGAAGATTCTTCACTGTATTGTACCGTGCTATATACCCAAACTTATACCCTGGTGTCTTTCGACACCACCCTAAAGAAAAGGAATTAATGTCAATCAGTTACCCTCCGGTGACATCAAGGAAGACAATATATTATACTGTTAAATATTAGGTAGGCTTCGAGACCTGCAACAAATGGGAATTTAATAAATAACGATACAAGGATGACAATGTTCGCTTCACGCCTAGCTGTGCTGGCTATTTCAAGTAAGTTTAAAACCAAAAGTGTTTTGTGTTTGCTTTGTGTCGAACGGTTATCGTTTGTTATGTCAGTTTCGGTAAATTCCGCTATATGATTTTAAGGCTTTGATGGAGAAGTGTTGTCGGAGAGATTTGTTAATTTATCGAAGAGGAATGGTTTGAAAAGTGTTTCTACAGTCCAACCAATCATCGCATAAGTCACTTGGGTTGTCATTCCTCTATTGTTTACGTTGTAGTGCTCTACACTGTTGTTTACGTTGTAGTGTTCTACACTGTTGTTTACATTGTAGTGCTCTACACTAATGATGTAATTAGTTTGTGTTCTACACCATTGACAGATGTATTTAGTTGATTCATGTAGTTGTGATACTTGCCAGTGCTGTTTGCTTAGATAATTGTTATACATTTAGCTGTTGAGCGCACACATTCAGAGTTCTAAAAGCCATCAGCAACCACAAACTGGCACACGTGACGTAGATTCTTGCTTTGTCGTTGTTTTTTTTCTCAGTGTAGGGGTTTAAAATGCTCAGTGTAAAGGCGATCACAATCCCATCTACCAGGTGCAGACAGCGGGTTGATGTCGATAGCGAGTGAGTGCACAACCAGAAACGAATGGACTGAACACTTTATTTGGTAGGAAAGAAATATTGCCCTCAGTTTTGGAGAGATCGTCGTCAAAGCGATGCAAAGAGATGCATAGCGATGCTTGCATTTAGATATATCACGATATTACGTCTCTTTTATTTTGATAACAGTCTTGAACAGCCCCGATACGTATGAATATGACTCGAAGACAGGTAAATAGTATTCAACGCCAAGGTAGTCGAAACCGTTGCAGTGTTTATAACGAATCTCACGGTCAGTAAAGTAAGCCCTCTGCGTATTAATTTTATATCGCGTATCGTAATTTTGTTTGAATACTGACTGGGCGAGCACTGGTGTCAACGAAGCGACAAATAAACATACTGGTTTCCTGAGTTTAGTATATCAAGCATGCTGACGTTCTCTAGTCCCTAGTCGAGAGGGAGTGCGTAACTGCGTATAAAGGAGAAGACAGGCCTCTCCGCGGCCGATTGTGTGAATCTCTCCTCTCTCTATGAATTTTTTTACTCTACAAATTAGCCGATCCGTTGGACGTTGGTCCCATATTGCTATTTTCTGCCCGTTTGTAAATTTCCATAGTACACACTACCCTGGACTCTGGAGCGACAGTTGACATTTTTATTGTTGTTGGGTTTGGTTCCTGAATATTGACTGAAAACAGTGAAAAGTGATGACAGTTTGGTCCAAAAACACTCGCGTTGAACACTTCCTGTTGTTGTCTTTAATAGAGCTTCTACGGTGGCTATTAGACAATCTCGCCAGCAGTCGGAGATTGTATAGCGTAAAAGGACATGTAGTCTAAGTAGCAGGCAAGGTTCATTCTGTATCGCGAAGTCATGCGGCGTCACAGCCGCGAATTTCATTTGAGTCCCAATGCCAGAAACGATGAGGCGCACGAACACCTCACCCATGCTGGCCTGCAGCGTAAAGTGTATGTGTTAAGACTGGAGTCGTTGTACAACGTACAACGATATGTGAATTCTTTGGCCCTTGTTTCTCTATCTGTGTTTCTATATCTTTGCTCCATGTCTACTCACTGGCATGTATACATTCATTTGGCAAGCATTGGCCTGCCTGAATAGTACCATTTTGTACGTTCCTATGAGGATTAAAATGACACGCACTTTTGTCTCTTCAGAACTCAAATTTGCTGCCATGTATAATGAAATTCGGGTTTCAAGGTAGATCAATAAATTTCGATATGAATAAATCTGCATTAGAATGAGGCACAACAACAGCTGTGTTTGGTGTGATATGATACTTTGAAGCACATGTGTCGTGTAGTATGGGATATATATATATATATATATATATATTTATATATATATATATATTTATATATTATATATATATATATATATATATATATATAATATATATATATATATAATATATATATATATATATATATATATACAAAAATATATAATATATTATATATATATATATATATATATATATATATATTTATATAAAAATTGAGTCTGCATGCAGGAGTTTCCATCGAGGATCTTCTGCTTCCTGCAGACGCAAGTCAATTGTATGGCGATCACTTGACGCTATCTATTGTTCAGACTTTTGTTCCTTCTTGTACAGGTCATTCTATGCTCAGTTGGCAGGCTTACTGATCTCGATGTACTTGGCTATGAAGTATTTTCATCCCTTCAATTTGCTGTTCAATGATTGCCGCTACTACCGCTTCTTCCACATGGAGTGGTGCACGGTGTTCGACTTTGTGCTGGATGTTTTGGTGTGCATCGCTTTTATGATGACATTTATCGTACGCAAGACTCTGATATACCATGTTTTGAGGCGGCGCTTGAGATCAGGCTGGGCGGACGCCAAGGGCAGATACAGACTCAAACTGGTTATGTTTGGTATTGCCATGCTCCTGCTGTATGGCTACTACTTTATGAATGTGGCGAGGACGCACATGCATAGGTATGGTTTTATATTCCTTTGTTTTGTTTTTTGTAACAGACGTGACTTTCTACAAGAGAGTCGTTAATGGTTGGATGCGCTCTTGTATGCTGTGCATTGTAGTATTCTTCAACCTTTTCTCTATCGACCAATCCCTTTCCATTCTCCCTGTATTCCGACAACACCCGTCTATGGATGCGTTTTTCTCACCCCCATGTAACAGCAGCGTCAAGTGGGGTGTGATTATTGCAGAGTGCATGTGCTATGACGGTCCGCTGTTTTATCGCTAGTCACGCATTTCTTATCTGCTGTTCAACTCTGTATGCGGCAGAGCCGACAAGCAGCCGTGTCACACAAGAATTGAGAAACTTCGAGGGCTTGTTGATTTGGGAGAGCGGATATCCGCCGCATTCTTCGATTTGGGCATCAATGTATTCTTGGACTACGGCTCCTTGCTCGGAGCCATGAGGTATTACAGTTACACCCCATGGCCTCCATTTTTGAGCTGCCTGAATACATTTACGTGCTTCTTGTTATGAAATCAAGACATGCAGACTTAAGCTTGCATACGATACAGAATCAAGCATTAAAAATATAGAAGGTTACCTTTCTTTCCTCCAACCATATGCGTTTCCTATCAAGCTCGATTACATAACGCTTCCCCTCATCCTTTGTTTCTTCCAGATACAACGGACCGTTACCGTGGGATCGTGACATCGATGTTGGCATCCTCTTGAACCAAATGGAGGACAAAGGTGTACGGATTGACATGGTGCTACTCTCCTTTTCACAGCACGGACTGACCGAATTCTACTATGGTAGGTGAGACTGCTGTATCATGATATTTGTATTCCGAATAGGTCCATGACTGAGCTTTAACTGATTACTGTCATAGTGGTTATGTGTTCTAGGTCAAGATCGACTACTGTCTACACCAATGGTCTACTTTAATGGTTTGCTGATGAATTTGGGCACGTCTAGTAGATTTTGCATTAGACTTATAGGCGTTCAGATCTACCCATGTGGAATTGAGTGCAATGACTGCCATTGCACTACACGCCCTGATTGGGAATCATCCACACACCTTGCTATACTAGGTCAAAATGCCCACAAAAGAACCATTCTGTGCTCGTACCTTAAAATACTCGATTATATTGGAGCTGCACTGTCACGCTATTGTACTGCAGTTTTTCTTTAGCTTTGCAATACCGTCTAATACAGTACGTCTTACCTCATACACAAACCCACAACTCTCCATTTTATTGGACAAAATAGATTATTGGGGCGGGTTTTTCCGTGCAGATGGAGACTATGCGGCAGCCGCGGACGTGATGTTGTGGAAAGACTACTTTGATACCGGCTACTTGAAGCGCTGTGGCTGGGAAGCCTTTGTGGCACCTGTGGCGTATTCGTTGTTCCATAACTTTCCGAAGAAAATGGTCGAACCGCCCTTTGGATTGCCAGAAGTGAGGTAGGTATAGGTTATTGGGCATATACATTCGCACGATATATGTGCGAGCTAAATGCGAATGGATAGCTGACACTACCATTGGGCGCACCTTTAGTTTAAAATTGGAGAACTACTCGACCAAGCATGCGGCATGAAATGAACATACGTACTATATACGGCTGAATTGTGGGAGTACTCGTAATTGAGCATGCCGAGAAAGAACCGAAGTATCTTAAGCACAGGTAAGCATCGGTATGGGATGGCTACGTGTTTGTAGTGTACCAGAAATTAGACTAAAATTTTTAACTACACTTGCTACGACACCAATCGGTCACATGTCCGATGTGAATACTTATACTGTATTTATTCTTTTAAGTCAGATAATTTTGCATTCGAAAGTGAACGCAACAGTACTGAAACAATTATTCTCTGTTCGCGAGGCAGATTTGGCAACGGGACTTTCAATACTCCGCACGATCCGCTGGAGTTTCTAAAGTTTCGCTACTTAGAGAATTGGTACACAGAAATCCGTCCTCATGGCTGTGATGATGAAACCTACCTACACTGGGACGGCGAAAAACCACCTTATCTTCCGTTCAAGGAACCTGAGTATATACGGACTGCGCTTGCAGCAGAGGTAAGTCTGGACTTTGCTTTAAAAGCAAAACAGAGAATAGGTGTTTCTATTCGTTTGTGTGCCCGTTTGTATCCTGTTTGGCGGCCATGCGCGTCGATTGTTTTGTATGAGGCAAGTGCACGCGCAGCTTAGTCGAGGCGGTTATATGTACGTCCCAATCGTATTTAGACACGTATTCGCATTCATACTTTCGATAGTGAATAGATCCTTCTACGAGGTTGTGATGGCGGGCACATGCTACTTTATCACACCATTCGCAATTATCAACCGTCTCGCTATCTACAATAACAGGCTGAAGCGAAGGAGAAGGCTCTTGCAGCCGAAAATTTTCGCCACGGAGTGGCTCGGCTTGACTGGTACTTTATGGATTGAAAGCGACACACCGTCTACGCAGAGGCCGAGGAATCGTCTGGTGCATAAAATGTAGGAGATGGAGTGAGTTTTCACAACTTCAACAACAGAATGAACCTTTGTCCGACGTCCTCGAGCGTATTTCATGGGCACCTTGAAGACTAAGCACTGGATTCTACCCGTGCGACAGAGACCTTTGGCCCTATCAATATCTGTAGAAGGAGCTTCGTCTCCAAATGTCGTGAGTGTACTTTAGGGACTCACACATCGCGTACAATTCCTCACATATCATTCTACACACTCAGAAGTGATGCTGTGCAGCATAGCGCTGGCAAATTTCATCCGCTTAATCGCCTAGCGCTTTTACAAAGAACCGGACGATCTTATATGCTGGTAGATAAGGACATTCATGTAGTATGCTTCCGTTTAGGACAACGCAATTTAGTAATAAAAACCCAACGCTTTAGGTGAACTGACATCGCAAACCTCGAGTATCATCAACTTTACTCGCGTTCCCACTCCCACATAGGTACGCAGAAGAGAGAGCAGACATTTCAGGTGTTGATATATTCATTTTGGAGAGCAATACCATTTTCTAATCCGAGTATCATACCTATCACTCGATTAAGTTTCTTCCATATATACATAGTAGCATCTAAGACACTAGATGGTGAATCCTAGACCAATGTGATTGGTCAGGCATACCGAATAGAACGAGTACAGCTGGTGATCCGTACTTGTAGTTGAGACGTCGTGTGAGTTGCAGATTACGAAGAAGCAGTGTCCAGTCTACACGAGCCCTACACAATCTCTTGATTTGTCAACAGGCACGGATTACATTTTCAATTTTTGAAGATCATAAAAACAAGATAGTGCAAAGAAGAGTGAAAGGGTGTTCGACCATGAAAACCATGAGACAATGTCTTTGCAATGACAGTTAAAGCACTGATGTTATGCAGTCGTTGAGTGCCATATTCGAAATACCTCAAAATAGTGTCATGGCAAGTCATGGCAAGACTTGCATTGAAGCGGTAAGAACGTAGATACAGTCGCAACACATCGTACGGCAGTAGGTCTTCTGGGCTGACGAAAATGTACTTAAACATCAAATCACCGTCCCGCATTGAGCCTACTGGTGTGCTCGATTTCTATTTTAATAATATGCAATCGCTATGGCCTGATGAGTGTAGATTTATTAGGCGCTTAAGACAGGTTCACTGAATAATGACAGCTGAGAGCTCAGTGTTTGATCCACTATATTTCCGTAGGATTTGTTCTCTCGCATGCGGTTCTATCGCATTCTGTGGCTGTCTTGTATCTGTACCACTAGCGGGCAAAAAATGAAGGATCGCACTGCCGTTCGCTTGACATCACATCGGATTCTCGACCGACTGATAGTAGTAAGTCGAGCCCCACTCTTGGTATTGGTGCCGGAACCCATTGCCTATTGCGCGCTACTGGTGATTCAAGTTGGCAGTAGCCTTTGTAGATCATAGGTAAGCATCTTTAAGATATTGTCATCCCAAACTTGACTTTGTCCAGGACTTCTTCGTCAACTTTCTCGTATTTGATGATTTCGACTCGTTCGAGAACACATATGTACATACGTGCATCTATGACAAGCGTATGATAACTCCCTCTCCCATCACATTTACAGTTATCTCCGCAAGAGTGCTAACCCTCAGAACCTCATACCACACCACACCGAGAGGACTTACAGGTTACAACTTCGACGAGATGTGGTCAGAAAGTAAACAAGATCAGGTTTTGCTTCTGTGAATGTTGGTAGTCTGTCCGTGGTGCTAACTTGCGGACAATTTTCGGGACATGTCGTGTGAGTATATTTACAAGACGCGAGGCATAGCTTTAAATGCCGATTAGAAATAGAAAATTGGTTTCCTATTCTTTGCGCAGAATATTTGCGATCCTCTGTGAGAGTGCATATATCACCTACAGAACTTGCGCATATATGGCATGAATGCACATGTGGTAAGTATGTATCTTTTTTCTGACAACTAATCTTGTATACCTAGTATTCATGACTTACGAATCGAATACAGGGTTCTTGACAACTCTAGTCCAACTTTGGTTCCTAAACTGGACCCACAGAAATGGTTGTGGTTCACAAGCAGTCCTTAAAAAAGGTGCATTGCAGTGGAATCTATATATGTAGTCCACGCACACCATCACTACTGCTACTATCGCTCAACGCCTCTACAGAATACTCAGAAAGAAAACTCTTCAAACCGTCAGCCGATGCCGCACGTCCCATACACTGCGCATATGCCCAGTACTCACAGACACGAGCCTCTGTGGTTCCTCTACGCTCGTCGCTTTAATGCGTTCGCTGAAGTCGAAAAAGCAAGGGAAACACAATATACATCAGAATATACGGGTAGTATATTTACCGATTTATTGACCACTATACATTCCACGTTGCTTCACTTGTGCTACTGGCAGGACCGGATCAGAGGAGATACAAGGCGTACGCGTCTTATGACAATGCACAATTTGCACTATAACCCAAATGAGCGTATCAAAATACATGACCGAATGTCCATATTCTTGCCCTGATGCTTCGAATCTAAAACAGTACAATGTCTTGATCATCACAACCGAGGACTTGGACGAGAGGATTTCACCGCGAGATTAGGCACGTGCCGAGCATGCAGATAACTTTCGAGTGCAGATGTGCAAAATCATTCAAAGCATATTCGATAGCTTGTAGACAATAAAGTACGAATACAATCCAAGCTGTTCCAAGCTACTTCTTGTTTGTATATGTATCTGTGTATTAACCTTGAGCATTGTCTAGCGAATACCTTATCTGCACAGCAGCCTTTGCTGACATGCTCCCCCGACGCACCTCCACCCTCAGTACATCCTCTGCACTCCTTCTTACATTCCCGTCCGTACCCATTTTCCCGGAGGTACCCCTGGCCTGGGCATTCAAGGTGCTCGCCACTAAATCCGATGCTATTCTACTCAGCGGTAGAGGCATGTACTGAAAGCGTGCTACCACATCATTGGTCACATCACGCAGCACACCATGCTCAAAGTTCGAGTGTCCCGAGAAGTACAGAACCTCGCCCTTGTCTCTATCCACACACGAGGAGTGCCATAACCTGGCCTGCCCCGTTGTTTCCACACAGGACCACTTATATGTACCTACATTAAACACCCACGTATCACCCAGTGCATGACCGGGTCCTCCATTGACAGTCAGTTGGGGCGTACCTACTTCCAACCCCACCCCGTTACTCATACCACCGTGTACCAGGATACGCCGGCTGTCTAAATACTGCGCGGTGTGCCATGACCGCCCACAAGGCTTTTCGTGTGATGCATTGCCCACCATGTCACCTGCAGGGTCACTAACGTGTGCACCATTGAGTACTACCTCACCTACGTGGGAACTACTCCTTACTATATCAGCGACGGTATTCATAGCCATACTCCTCCTCCTGTAGTCGCGTATACTTTCGTGTTCTGGTGCACTGCCATTCATTTCTAGACGCTTCCTGGTAGTGGGTTCCCTGGCAACCGTCTCCGCGCTGCCCTTCCCACTCGGCGCAATACGAAGGGAATAAGAGCTGACAGCTGTATTGGCCACTAACGGTCCCGTCCAGTGCATGATTGACATATCCAGTCTATATACCTCGTTATTCCTGCCGTCCTTACACCTGCCTCCAATAACGTATGCGTGTGCATCGGTTCCTGGCATGAGAGTCATAGTGTGTGCGGCTCTGGGACTGGGTGGCTGACCTTTGGTACACACCAGGCTCCATTTGTTTGCAATGATATCGTACTTCCAGAGCTCACCTGCCCAGGTAAAACCACTAGTAACCTGCCCCCAACCCCCGAAGTAGTACAGATTACCGTCGTATACCACGCCTGCGTGTTTGTCTCGAGGAGATGGTACAATGCCACCAGTTTGAATTACACTCCAAATCTGGGTGCGAATATCATATTTGTGCATGCTAGCCTGATACCCATAACTGACCCGATGTCCACCGTACACATAGATGATGTCATCGACAGCCAGCGCAACCGCTCCTGACCAGAACCCATCAGGCATTTCACCGATGACCTCCACAGCCACCCATTTTCTGCGATCTAAATTGTACTTGCATATGCAGTTCTCGAGGCTGGTGGGCATGGCACGGCCACCAAGCACATACACATCCCCCCCCACAACACAGCTTACTTGACCTGTGCTTGGGACATGTTTGAATGTATGCCTGTGGGCATCCTCCTTCCAGATGCTACGCATCGTCTCCTGTCAGGACTACAGACTAATGCCTTGAAATACAGGCCATTTATAAATATATTTATTATTGATTTATATTATCCGCATCAAAGAGAAAATAGGGTTTCCACTTAACCTTCTTCTAAAATCAGACACCATTTTCGTGGTTAAATTTTTGATGATTACTTTTTGTGTGAAGGCAAATTAGCCTAGCTTCAGTTCCAGCCCTGCCCGGTTACTAAAAAATAGGACTTGAAAACCCCAGGATTCTAAAAGGGGCGATCTTTGTCCTTGTCCGGCTACACCGCCGTGCATCTTAGTGATTCGGCCCAGGGGGGCAAGTCCATATCCATAGGTTACAGAAGAGGTCTCCAGTAGAGTAGAGTCAGCAGACAATCCTACCGCAATCAAGTATTTTCATTCCGACCAGTAGATGTGATAACTAGGTACACTTGTAGTATGCAAATACCAAACGAGTGGGCAAATATCATCCCTTCTGAGACATACATACCAACGTGTTGAATTTCTAGTAAGGAGTGCTAAGTGGTTCAGAGTCACTCCTCGATAGAGAACAGTGATTTCAATCCAAAATGTGCTAGTTAGTTATATATTTGCCTGCTTTATCATGTCTCAAACAATATCCCAGCGTGGTATTTAACTAACTCGTTATGTAAACACATATACAGGCCACATCCCCCTTTTGCGAGCTACACAGTAGCCTTCCGCAAGCGACACTAATGACGTCTTGAGTTCTAAGACCGGGTCAAACCGCGATGTCCGTTTCGCTGCCCTTGATCTTGATCCTGAGTGGTTTCGCATACTATTTGCGGCTAGTAATAGAGCAGTGCTCCAGAACCTGACCAAGCTGGTGCAAGGCAATCTCATAGAACTACACAGAATCTTCGGTCACCTTACAACCATGGCTTCCAGTTCCTGTGTTTGTTCGCTGTACTCCTGTGCGCCATGCGCACGGAAGATGGCCACTGCACTGGCACGGATCCACACTAGATCTTTCCTGTTTGTGCCGCTAGCGAATGAGATAATGTTTTTAAAATTAAAAACTGAGAAATGCTCCAGTAATGTAATGTAAAAGTCCAACGCAGATAAGTGTAGTGAGATCGCGGAAGTGGCGAGTGTACTACCGGGGTGTAAATGTGCCGAAAAAGTGAGAATCTTAACGGGAAAAGGGTTGACTTCATCGTATGCGGTGGGTAAAATTACGCACAGATATACTGCGTATAAGTACAGCATAAACTATCTGCACATACCATCGATAATATATACTCGAGAGCTTATGCAATTCATGGGCATACTCAATAGAGGAGGTGCCGAATACCCGACCTACGATCCCGGTACTCAACGCGCACATGCGCCCAGCGGCTGTTTCATCACCATTCGCTATAGCCAGCCTCGCGAGGTCGTCATACATCGACCCAATGGGCAGCGTGATGGGATGAAGAACAGCTATGTTTTGACACAGAGCCCTTTGTGTGGCTTCAAATTGCTCCTTCACAGTGGGTTGAATACTGTCGGTAGCCGTCGTCATGTGGGAGGTGATACTTGCCAAAGCCTTTTGACATGCACATATAGCAAGTGGGGTTGTACTTGATTTAGAGGTGTGACAACATCGCAAGTTAGACAGCACTGAAACATCCTGAAAGATTGTCAGTTAACGAAATAGAGAAAGGTACATTTGTATGAAATCAAATGTGTTTGACAGAAATGCATTCAAAAATCAACCAACACACTCACGTTCTCATATTCGGCTGCTGCATATTTGCTATGACAACCGTCGCAGACCAGCGCGGTAGCACTCTCCAGACGCAACGGATGCGACAGACAATCGCGCACTGATTCGGGGACGAGTTTGCGAAGGATATAGGCCTCGACATAAGGAACGGCCTTCTTGCACACGAATACCGAGTAGCGCTGGGAGATGGCGATTTCTTCGCGTTTACAAGCCATGCAATGACAATCGAAGCCGTATTGATCCTTGAGCATAACTTTTCTCTCTCCTAGCGAGTGCCGTCCCACTTGCGGTCCATAGCAGATAGTGATCTTTGAAGGTGCAAAAGCAAAAATAAACTTTGGTCATGCACGGATCACTGGTATTTGAATACGCTCTACACTACTATGCGCGTGTGGGATATGACTCCGACCCCGTCCACGGCTATAAATGAAGACAAACAATTGTACTGCACGCGTGTCAACTAAACTACGGACGGCAATATAGAATACTTTTACGAGCGCGAAGTTGAAAGCATGCATTGAGAAAATCGCCAGCGCGAGACAATATGCTGAACATCATTGAAACACGATTTTTCTTAACTATCGCGTTTGGCACGTTTGTCAAAATAAAAATCGTACCTGATCTCCCTGAGCTAGAGGCTGGGTTACGTACAGACTAGCAAGAACTCCCGGGTCTGCATCGGTATTTAGTTGTACAATAGCATTTGGGTCACACGAGTGATTTACCATACTAATGGTCGCAAACAAGACCAACCCTCGTGATTCTGCGCTTCCTCCTCTCATATCACTACCGATATTTCTGTTAATTTTCTTCGCCGACGGTGTCGATGTCATGTCTGTAAATACAACGCTATTACATTTCACTCTTAGCATGTGATGCCACACCTCTTCTACCCCCACGCCATAGGCATCGTTCAATAACACAGCAGTCGCAAGACATTCCGACACAAAGGAATAAGTCAAGGTAGTCGCATTGGTACACAATGCTTGAGCTTTCAAGTTTCCTGTGGCCAAGTGCCCCGTTCGCGTCGCAGTATGAGACCCCAGGGATTGATCACTGGAGAGATAACCACACGGCTGGGCATGTTGCTGAGGATAGCTGCACATTTGCAGGGCTTGCCGTGCTTGTGTGCTGAGGATAGAGGCATGTTGGAGCCCAGATAAAACACAAGCAACGGGTTCCGAATCTGTATCTGCAACAGCCTCCAATCTGTCACTTGCATTCGTGGTTGCAACTTGCTTCCTGGGCGAAGTGGGGTTTACGGCTGTATGAGCATTTAACTCCGGCGATATTAGCCTCCGCTGGGTCTGGTATTGGCATCTCTTTGAACAGTAGACACACAACGCACACGTTAGACATCCCACAGAGTAGTGCACGTTCGCTGATGGTGCCTGGTCTTTGCCACCTTTCACAGATCTGCGCTTAGTACATCGTTTCGAACACATGACACACCGTATACGATTCATGTCATTCACAGAACTAGCGGCGACTGTGTGCGGATTGGTTACAACGAGAGGATCTTCATCCCTGATTATGCGCTCACCGGCGCTCACTGCATCCTGAACATATACACCTCTGCCACTGCCATCCTCCATGGTCAGTACGTGAATACTATCTGCGAGTACGTTGGTAAGGCGGATGGGGTTGCTTGATGCATTCATCGGCTCATTTTGACACATAAGATTGTCCAGCGCAGCACTTGCAGCCGAGGATGTGACTAGCTTCGGCAAAGTTGAGTCAATCCATGAGAGTGCAGCATCAACGGCAGCTCGCACGTCGTCATCTGATCGTTGTAGAAAACCATAAGAAATTGTTTGAGCACATCCACTGTTACATGTTCCTAACGCCGACTTTCTAGTAGTGTGCGGATACATTGCCTTTTAAACAAGCCTCAGGTGCGAACATCAACTAGATTTTACCGTCGATGGGTGCGCGCGACAAACTTGTCCATAGGTCACTTCTGATCGAGAGCTTCCCTTCATCAGCAGTACGTAGAAAGCGCTTGAGAAGCTTTACATGGGTTTTGCACTGGTCGAGTCGTAGTGCACTCTATAAACAAAAAGGAGAGGCGAGAATATTCCAGGTGAGTGTACTCGAATCAACCCTTTACATGAAAGTATAGCCAAAGCGGAAAAAATATGTCGTTATGCATAATACAGCACACGTCGGTATCCCACAAGCATTCGGTACGAATGAGGATTGATGGGAGGTGATCAGTATGTACAGACCAATACAATCGAGCACCAAACATCAGGTCTGTATGGGTCGAAAGGGCAGGCACATCAAACACATACTTCGATATCCCACAAGCACTCAATGTACGCCTCGGAATGCAGATAGGCGGCTGATCGGTTTCCATAACATTTCGCGAGTGTCGCTGACTTGAAAGTCGCAAGTTGCAATCCCTAGTGAAAAACAAAATACGAGAGCAACGAAAGTATTTGGCATGCCCATATGTTGCGTGTAGTATAAAACATCTTTCAACTAGCACTATATAAGCACAACGGTGTATGATAATTAAAATTCCGAGACTGGAGCTATATTGAAGATTTGGTAAAACTGATAATCAGGAACTGTACCTGTGTGTAGCACCAAATGGATTCTTTGAAGCGCTTGGCACGGAATTCATCATTGCCCCGATTGCACATGTCGAGTGCCGATTGATCATCCTTTTGACCATGAGTCTGGTTGATTTGTTTGAGTTTCTGGACTGTTTTCTGGTAGCCTCGATCTGAACTGAAGAAGTTACAAGGAAGGGGTTGAGTATGTGCAGCGCGTCATTTAGGAAAGCAACAAAAAGTCTTGTCCATCAGATCTTTAGAAACCTTACAAACGCTTATGCGAGCCCACGTACTCATTCGCAGGTGCACTGCAGCGGTGCAGATAAAATCCGTGAATGTGTGTATACACATTGAGATAGCTACGTGTGCGGATGTGCAACGGTTGTTGGTTTGTGGTATTCTCCGCATATCCAAAGGAAGGGAAGTCAACAAACGTTTAGCGAGAATAAAAAACTCGCGAAATCTCACACTTATTATTTGATGAATAGCTACACACAAGGTATATCTATATAACTAGCACTCATAGTACACCTATGTACATTAGTAGAGCTCACAGTATAACTACGTATATAACTAAAGCTCACATAATACAGATGTAAATAATTGAAACTCACAGTCCTAAGTAAATAGTTAAACTCACAGTATACCTATGTTAATATTAAAACTCACAATAAACCTATGTGAATAATTAAACTCACAGTATACCTATGCAAATAAATAAAAACTCACTGTATACACGTGTACACAAAAACTGACAGTACACCTAGGTATTTGAACTACCTACAAAATTGAAGGAAATTTTACAGTAACACTGTGGCATTACACTACTTCGTGTACCTCCGAGCCAATCAAACATTGGATTCTGGATTAACGGTTTCCTATGCTACGGAATTGCGTGGCACTCTCTTTCCAAATTATCGATATAAAACTACATGCCTGCCTGCTGTAGCTTAAAGAGAGTTCATTGATATCGGTCAAGAAATCCCAGACAAGCATATAAAAAATTTGCAGATATCCATGAAGTGTGTACACGTTTCAGACTGGAGCAGGCAATGAAGTTAGTAAGTTTGTGACAGCGAAATAAATTCGATCGGAAGCTTACCGCCAGATCACCAATACAGCTGTGGTAGCATTTGAAATTCTGCATCTATTCAAGGACAGATATACTATATGTACATGTATATACTCGATTGAGATCATGATACGAGTGGGAATGTCACACGGTGCTCAAGAGTTGAGTAGTATTGATGCAGTATTGTTAGTGACGGAGGACTATAACTTCCATTTGTCAAAACTAGTTTAAGTACGCACCAGCAATTCGACCGCAAGTATACAAGGTAAAATACAGAGTAGCTTTCTACAAAAAATAAACAAATACGAACATATAGTACTAACCTTGAATCCTAAACTGCCAGAATTAACCACAGGCACATCTCACGCCACATACCGGATGATCTTTATGAGCGCTGGCGGTACCTGTAGACGATCAACATCTTCCGCAGGAGTTACTTGCACCACAAATGTTACCCAATCATGAATATCTTCCAACGAATCTCTGTCTAAGCTAGAGACCCACAGCTCTTGTAATATTTGAGGACGCATGGTGTCGGTCAAGTTTAGGGTAGTATGTAGTCGTTGGTACTCACAAATTTATTCTTTAACTTAACATCTGACTGACCGGCGGTCCGTTGATGTGACCTCCCCTCGACCACTTAGTATGATAACTAGAATTCAAGCTATGTGCACATACCTATATACAATATGATCATTAAACAAGGCTAGTGCATGCACCTATATGTAATACATTGACACCATATCTCGCCAGTCTAGAGAGAGCTTCCCCGCCTTCAAGGAGGTCTATTGTGACAATATAAATCGAATAGGGAACTTGTGGCCCTGGGAAACCTCTGACTTGGCATTCCCGCCAAATATTGATTTGACCCAAATCGGGTTCCGGCACATGTATCACTGATAAGCGATGTAAATATATATTCATTTATATATATATATATATATTTAAGCTGTGTCATCCGGATATATTTCTATGTCTATATAAATACATACGTACATACAACTTAGACAGTGCGACACCATGTCGTCTACACCGGTATATAAACGTGAAGGTGAAGAAATCGCGCCCGAAGCTGCTACAAAGCGTACTAGGAACACTGCCACCATTGCCTCAGTGTACAAGGAAAAGCAATCAGGTGCATTCGCATTCGGTTTCGGCGGAGGGGATGACTACGATGGAGCTGATGTTGCAGAAAGGAATGAAGAAAGTGAACCTGTGCATACTCTATTGAATTTAGATAAGAATACCGACAATGTAGCAAATACACACGAGCATTTGTCTGAATGCACAAACGCACAGAAAGGCGTAGTCCGTAATGATGAGCCCGTTTTACGTTCTTCAATTGCATGCATAGCTGTGCGTGATCACTGGGCACCCGGAATGACTGGAAAAGTAGTCAAGGAGCGATATTATAACATAATATGGGAGAAGAGCTCTGATTTTAGCTTATGTGTTACGGATTCTTCTAATGTAGACATAGTTGGACCAGAGGGTCATGTAGGCCGGGAGTATTTCGTACCGCCATCGGTGGTGCGATTAGTGAGGAGCAGGACAGATGAGAAGTCACAGACTCTGAAGAATGACACTGTCACAAACACCGACAGCATATTGTATGTACGCGTATACAATCGGATATTTGGTTTGTTTCGGTTATTGTTGATTATCTGCACTTATGTGCGAACTCAAATATATATCGTATTTAATGTATGTCCCATCTGTGGGACTATATTTTATTGATATGGGTCGTGGTCACGTTTGATCCAATGCGCTGGCAACCTGACCTCAATACGAATACCCCGAAGGAAGAACCCTCGCTAAGATAGTAGAAGTGTAAAATTAGTCCTTGTAGATGCATACTATTGGTCACGTAGTTGTGTACTTGTATCTGATCAGTATCCTACTCTACTTATATTCGGCATGCCATACACTCAAAAGTTCAAAATATACTCTTATTCTTCCATCAAACTGCGATAAAAGTTTTAGTATGTATATCTGCCCTACTCATCGTTCATATGCACGTCTCTATTTGTTGTGATATGCGGTTGCTCTCTCAAATAGAAATGAAAGGGGATTCTTTTATTTTGAATGACTGAACTCGGAATATATTCAATACTGCACAATAACAATACAGACACTACGATTCAACGTGGCTGAAGGCCTCGTGTGTACTAGGCTATGACCTGCCCTACAGTAACACACCTAGTTTGTTAGAACCAGGACTGGAGTGCTTCGTTTGGCCTCTATCTGCGGATACATTCATGAAGAACGTCTTTCAACAAAAGGCACTGGTAGTCCATGGTACGGGTCAGCGATTAGAAGAGCTACGCAAGGTAAGATCACTCGCGGGATTTATTTGTGAAGTTTAACTAAGCCTGGTATCGTTGCACGTGTTGGTTGTTTGCTCTAGATATAATGCAGTGCGAAGAAGACACGTGTTTAGTCATTGAGTACTTCTCTTATAAGCAATTAAATGTAAATGTATGGCCAGTATGCACAATCTAGATGTTTACTTCAGTGTATACGAGCTATTTTTGGTTTGATGGGAAGCTTTCCCACAAATTCTTACTAGCTGTCTATCATGCTACCTATCAGGACTTCCACGATTTAGATGTTGAGGAGATGGTGCAAGAGGCATCCCGTGTTGTTGTGTGGATGAAAACCAAGCAGGGTAAGATGCAGTACATAGATGCAGGGCCTGATATCGCCATAAACTGCTACAGAGCTGGCCACACTCTGTACTTCAATCCATCTTTAGATGTACAGGTAAGTATTCAAGGTTTGCCTTTTTACTGACGGTTTTTACAACATACATAGTACATTGTAACTAATATCTAACTATAAGGACAGAGCTATGCTAGGTAATTGGGCTCCGTGGTAAGGCTGTGACGGTGCTGGCAATCGTGAGTGCTTTACTTTTGTTTAATCTAGTTATAAGGTTTGAGTTATCTTGGGGAAGTTTGAGCACCCACGCGTCTCGACGTTTCAAGAGCTCGTACACATACGCACGTTCTAATCATATTGACGGCTATGACCATTTTCATTGTTCTTTGGGCCATACAGAGAAAATATTTCGACGCGCTTACAGACAGTCTCGGCATGAAGTGTATCGACTTCGGCATGAACAGAGTGGATGATTTTGGCGGCGACATCGAGATATTTGCGGTAGATCGCGCACACGACACACCATGGCACTTCGATGCGCAAGGTAGGTGTGTAGAGATTGGTCTCACCACATGCGGTTCGTGTACTCAGGTGTTTTGTGTATGTTCTGGTAGTGTATCATTCATCTATTGGAAATTGGTTTACACCATATGTGGTTCGTGTACTCAGGTTTTTTGTGTATGTTCTGGTGGTGTATCATTCATCTATTGGAGATTGGTTTACACCACATGCGGTTCGCGTACTCATGTTTTGTGTGTATGTTCTGGTGGTGTATCATTCGTCTATTGGAGGTTGGTCTACACCACATGCGGTTCGTGTACTCAGGTTTTTTGTGTATGTTCTGGTGGTGTATCATTCGTCTATTGGAGATTGGTCTACAGCACATGCGGTTCGTGTACTCAGGTTTTTTGTGTATGTTCTGGGGGTGTATCATTCATCTATTGGGGATTGGTCTGCACCACATGCGGTTCGTGTACTCAGTATTTTTTCTGTGTACGTTCTGGTGGTGTATCATCCATCTCTTGTTCCTTGGCTTATCATTTGCAATGGCACATCTTACTCTCGTGCTAGCTATCAGTGCTATACTGTTCGCACACCACCCGATCTGCCGCTCAGCATCTCTACTTATGATATGGAGATTACTTTCAGCTTGATAAATAGTTTTGTTGAGTTGTGGATACGAGAAGAAAACTACAAGTACATGTCTGTACTCGTATTATTTTTGGGAAGCGATGCATAATCCGACAAGCGCAGCTATGAGAGTAACGATTTGTAATACTATGTACAGTCCCTTCAATTCGTTTGGTATTGGCGAATCAGCTATCAGTTCTACTTGTATCTACACATAGTTACTTACCGTGTTCTCTCAACCTACGTTCCAGAAAATTTCACTATCCAATTGAGGGGAACAAAGCGATGGTCAGTCTGCAAGAGCGACCTGAAGGATATCGTCACGAATCTCCACCCCGACTCAACGAATATAGAGGCAGTATATAACGACTACAAGACGCACAGTGGATATACTGGTATGCTGCGTAGTTGCTGATGCAGACCTAACTCAGTGACCCAATCACTTTCAGCCTATATCTGAATCAGTTTGCTCAGGCGCACTTATGTTAGCTAGGCCAGCATGCAATCCATGCAGATCATGTCGTTGTTGCGCAAAATTATCGTGCCGCTGCTACCTCCACAAGAGGGGTTCTCAAATAGTACTAATTTACAGAATTTGTATTTATCCGATCTTCGGGTCGAGTCACACTCCACTTTGTTCTGCTATGCATATTAGTTCGTTTGACCAGTATCCACAGAATGGAATTGACAGTTATTTTCCTGATTGACACATGACAGGAACGCGACCGACCGCACCCAAAGAAGGCATTGATGATATATACACCTTCGTATTGAGACCTGGTTCAATACTATATGCGCCGGCTGGGATGTGGCATCGCGTGCAATGCGAGAATGAGGATGGGGGATCACTCTCCATGAATTTCAGCGTAGATGGTAAGGGGTGTGCAATGTGCAAGGACATGAAATATCTGTTCGACTTATGGTGCTAAAGTGTAAATGCATTCGAGTTTTCTGACGTGTTTCATTTTAAACGGATAACAGGCTGGTCAACGTAGAGTGCACGGCCTATGTCGTCTTTCTGTATGCATATGATCTTCGGAATGTAATATGCTTGAGATCCTATACTGAATTACCTCTCAATACCTGCACTCGGGTGGCGGTCTACACATATATATGTACACCACTAGCTGTTATGGATATAAAATCACATTTGTGTACGTTTTCGGTGGCTTCGGTGGCGTGGTCATTCTCCACGAGCTTCGCTTTCGATAGTAAGGTTAGTGTAAGGGGGTCGTGTTGTGATAATTAGGCCGAGTCGGAAGCCCATAGAGATTTTTGGTCTGACACGCCTCGACAGAAAGTATACGATGTGCCAGTGTGCTGACTGGGCAGTTTACCTGCATTCTACACTGTATGTATTTGTGATTTAAAAACTCTATTCTGCAAGCTCACTCATGAGCAGACAGCTTTGCTTGTCTAAACGGTCACTGTGTACTCACGGATGCTTTTGACAGTTGCCTTCCTAATCGGAATCTGTCTCGATAGACATACATGCATGTGTATGTTCATGCGTATGTAGTAGCAAATGAACACGCACATGGCCGTACTATATCTCCGTTGTTGCATTTGTACTGCTTGCATACCCTGTCCTCGCAGTTACAGAAGCATGTGTCTTACTCAGCCTATAAAATACTCAGGTAGGAGGTGGGCGGACTTGTTTGCAAGTCGTCTACAGCCTCTGTTATGGAAAAATGCGGGTTGGAGAGGCAGAATACAAGATATGAATCCAAAAAAGGCTCGAGAGACCCTCAATGGGTTGTTGGAGAAGCTCAAAGATACTGTGAGCAGACTGACGGCGGACGATTTCTTACCTCCGGCTATTTTGGACAGCAACGCGTAAGTGTCTATCCTGCGCAGTCGCAGACTACTTTCCTGCGATGCTCTGCTTACGTTTGCTTTCATTTTGGCGTATTGATAGGTATAACTATGCCTGAGGAATCAATTGTACAAGGATTCACTTCTATAGATCGTGTTTCACGACCACTCTCAGCCCCAGGTTGGAAGTAGTCCTTCCTAGAGGCCATTGCACTCACTGACACTACAATACTGATAAAAATAATATTGCTTACCGAATCATACTCATCGCAGTATATTTTTTTGAAATATAGCGTCAGCGACGAAGGTGACTCGAAAATCAGTTTGTTCAGGGTACACGCTGAGATAGGCGATGAAGGTACGTGATTTAGCGCATGTGATATATGTATGCGAAATGGTCTTATGCGAAGCTCAGACTACAACCTCCGTGTATCACGAGGAATCTTCGCATGCAATCGAATTGTTTTGGATTGTTAACACAATTTTTGCTCACGCTGTCCACGGCACACCCGGACCCCTAGCCATGTATGAGAAGGCCGCACACTATCGGATATGCTAGGGTGGGCATGAGAAACGAAATACACTTACGTCTCTACTTATATATTGAAGTCGCTACTATTCCGAGCAATCATTTCACTGACAATTGCCCGATGATATGCATTGGACGCAAATAGTGATTGACCAAAATGCTCAATGACCGCTGCATTCAATATGATCAGATCGAGAGATGCAGCAAGCCATAACCGAGGGGCAAGCTGTGCGCGAGAGGTACCCGAATATAAGTTCATCGTCTTTCATCCGCAACCCGTTGTGCGACCTAGTCATGGAATCCTCATCGGTAAGTGCCAAAACACACAATACACCTTTAATTTCGGGGGTCGTTTACGCTGTCATGCAAGTTTAAATTCGATTTCAGCGATTATATTGTAGACAGTGTTCGTGTGCTCCTGAGTGACCATCACAAATCCCTCCGAAAGCACTACGAGAACAAAGCACAGTTCGTTTATCGGTTTATTGAATGAACATAATCAATACAGGCTTCCGGAACGAAATGGACCGTTAACTCCGGTTACACAAAAGACAACCTTGCTTCTGATTACTGTAGAGCCATCTTCGTGCCCCACGAGGCATACTCCATTATGTCATGCCTGATGAACATGTCAACTGAGAAAATTTGCCCCACCACATTTGGAGCCTTATTAAGAACCGATGTCCCGGTTACGACTACAAACGCCGAGCTCGCTCTTGCGAAGGATTTGGCGGAAACATTGGTAAGCATATTGGTATTCACCGGATATTTGCGGATTGTCTAGTCACCATAGCTATGGTGTCGGATTCACCGTGACATGTCTCTGAGCGATAACACCCAGGCAGACGATACACAATCGCAAGTGATCTTGAAAGGAGAGATGGCCAACCCGAAGGTTGGTACGATCCGATCGCACAGGGATGTTACATTGGGTAGTGCTATCACAGTCGACCCTAATACGCCACTGGCAGTGGCAGTGGGCGCAGGCACAGCTGAACTGGAGCTTACATATGTGGCCAGGAGAGTCGTGAGAGATGGCGTGGAAGTTGATCTCGTGATAATAACATGGGCTATGCTACCACAGACACGGTTACCGGGGCAAATTGGCCCTCAAACCACAGACACGGTCACCGGGGCAAATTGGCCCTCAAACCACAGACACGGTCACCGGGGCAAATTGGCCCTCAAACCACAGACACGGTCACCGGGGGGCAAATTGGCCCTAAAACCACAGACACGGTCACCGGTGGCAAATTGGCCCTAAAACAGAGAGGAAACACACTTCTGTGTGCAATGAATAGAGGCACCGCTAGATGTATCTCAGATAGGAACTATCAACAAACTGCGAGTAAACGGAGGGTCGGTGGGATTCAGTACGGATCCAACCACAATCGAGGATGCGTCTGCTACCGATGGTGGGTTTATCAATAGTGGCAACTTGGCCATACGGATGTACTTTGGTGTCGCTTAATTGTGTGCTCTCAACTCTCCGCCATGGCGCAAAGTATCAATGCTTAAAGATGGTGCCCATGCACAACACGAACAGCACCGGCAAAAGCCTCTTCCTTAGTATACAACCCTAGGTGTGTATATGCACACCATGGCTGCAAAATGATGTGTGGCTTTAGTTTGTCTGCAGATCTTAACGAGTCGCACACACAGCCAGGTGCGCCACCACGCTAACCGCCCGATACCCAAACAAACGTTAGAGACCAGGGTGAGCGTTTATAATACCGTCAGCAACGGAAGGAGTTAAATATATGGGCCCTTCATAGAAATATATTAGAGACAAATAAGTGCAAGGAGTATCTAAATGAAAACTCTGTTTTCACAACGTAGCTTCGATTAAAGGTCGTTAGTGAATTAATCAATACAGAGGTATATACATATCTTGTATAATGACATTTGTACATACACATATATAGCTCCTGCACAGTCAAACCCTCATATAGACACACATTCGGTGCAACTGATATTCCATGCAAACTTAATTGTAAGGTCGTGTCCCGTTTCCATCTGATCTCAAGGAAAGTTGTATGTGAATAAATCCAACGCAAAGTAGAATACTCTGCTACATTTAGCAGACGAGACACCTTGAAGAATCGAACAACGCCAGCTAACACTCAAGCACGCAAGTTTCTGGCCACACAACTAGGTGAACTCACAGACTGACTAGTAGTGACGTGCCCATACGTTCATACTCGCACAAAAAGGTCACTCACACTTTTAGTTTTTAAAGGCGCAAAACTGCCAGAGGAAACGTGCCCATCAAACAACATCAACGAAAAACATGTAATATACATTTAGATCAATATATAAGTATATATATATATATATATATATATACAGATACATATACATACATGCACGTAACATTCGTATATATATTTATACATACATTCATATACATATAAATGTTCATATCAATACATACACACATACACGCGCGCACACACACACACACGCACACACACACACACACATACATATATATACATGTATATATTATAAATATTTATATACATGTCATAATATTATATACATATATACATATATACACACACACACACACACACACATATATATATACATGTATATAATATAAATATTTATATACATGCCATAAATATTTATATACATACACACACATACACGTGTACACACAGACACAGACATACAGACACACAGACACAAAGACACACAACACAGACACAGACAAACACACACACACACACACACACACACACACACACACACATTATATATATATATATATATATTCATACATACATACATATATACATAGAAATATAAAGGTAATGATCTCCTGAGATATGCCTGCTTTCGTCTGAAACTAATTGCGATAAAAGCAAGTAGCCACGAACACTCACACTGAACTTTTCCTCGAAGTTATAAAGATTTTCTGTGTACTACGCACCTCATTTAGAGAAAAAAAAAGGTCTTTTCAGACATATTGGTGGGCAAACATCCTTCAATAAGAAATGGTTTCTGCTTATTCATAAAGTAGAGGAGGCTCTTCAAGGGGCATGGCGGGTTCATACATACAATCATATCTTTGTACGCTAGTTCGATCGGCCATATTTTATATTTTTTTTGTTCTAAATAGAGCAACTGTCATGTATCTCATCACTCAAGTGATATCATGATGTGTAGATGACGGAACCATAGCATGTCTCTCCCTCTACAAGTATACTTATTAGAGTAGAGAGAGATATAAGTGAAAATTCAAAATATGGCTGATCGGACTAAACGTTCGAAGGAAACGATAGCCTCCTATTATTAATTAGCCTAAATAATTCAACAAAATAGCAGGCGTACAGTGTCACCGACTACAGAGTACAGAGTACAGAACCGGTGACTAGAACATTTTTACACTTTTACAGAGTGCAGAATTGTGACGAGAGAGGCTTTGGGCCTATGGCAGACGTGTAGTCACTATGGATCAGATGACAATTGTCAAATGTCAGGGTCACGCACTCACACTACGTCTACATATTTACAACTTGAGGTTTTTTTCTCAAAAATTTATAAATCAATAAAATTCCTGAGGGCAAGTAATATTTAGTGAGTAAATTACTGTTCTATTTTCAGAAGGCTATGACTTTTTTGGGGTTTTAATTATTTAAATACTGTAGAACTGTAGTTCTGATGACTGATGAGTACTGTCTCAAGTCTGTCTATGTATTTACTGAGTGATCTATTTACATTTTACTGACAGAGTGACAGTGACAGTCAGACAGACTGACAGTCCGAGACTCTGACACGATCGAAAAGCCAGGAAGTCAGCAAGACACATAAGTATGACTCATTACTATTGCAGTTTTTAAAGTACAAAGATATGATTGGCTTATTGAGGATGTATGCGATAGCTTTTTCCGGCTTTTTGGAGGTGGCCAGAGGATAGTAAAATGCGATATATGTCGTTTACTTGCTTGATATTTTCTTCGACTTTTAGTAGCTAGTATACTCCGACATTATGTGGTAAGACATGTTACAACTGTGTCGTAAATTGAATACGTAGTGTGTAGATTGCTTTTATGAAATAGTTCCCCCCAGCGCCCCAAGGTCACCAACTCCCCAACTCTCCCCAACAAGTCAGAACTTCTCAAAGAGTGGAAAAGCCGAGTTGAATGAATGATCAAAACACAAATAGACGGCGCAAGGAACCACTGCTAACCAGTCGAGTACCTATCACACCTAAATAGATACTTCCTTTACATATAAATTCTAACTTATACTCAATATGCGTATTGCTGCCTTTATCACCGCAAGTGCTGTAGCGCTGTCCGCCGTTGTGCTTGCTGACCCCGTTCCAAATGACCAGCAGACCTGTGATCTGTGCATGCAGAGTGTCGGACAGTTGCATGATCCCGATACGCGTGCCCAGTTGGAGGGCATGTTGGACCAGGTTTGCGCGCAAATCCCCTTCTTCCAGGATGAGTGCAAGGTATGTTTTTAAAGAGCCTATCTATATTGTTTGATATAGTGCTTAGAGAATCAATCGATAGGTCTGGTTGTTAGCGTCTTGAAACTGGGTTGTGCATCAGTATTTTCAAATTTCTTGAAGTTTACATGCAGATTAACTATTTATCCCAGCGAGTCTGCGTCTGCATGGCTTTATATTTGGTCCTATGTCTTATCATAGTAAGAAGGATATATTCTGGTTAGTTCCTTCTTTTCGTGCAGTGGTAAACACATGAAATTTATATTCATACGGCTTTAGTGACCATTATTGACAATTTAGGTGATTTTAACCTTGGCAACGTATGGCTTTGTCTTCTTTTTTAAAATTCCATAAATTAAAAATACGCAAATTTCACTTACCAAACAGGGCTTCACCGGACAGATCAAGGATGAGATCGAAAAGCTAGCAAAGGAGACCCCCAGAGAGGCGTGTGAAGAGATCCAGCTATGTGGACCCGACGCCATCCAGTTGCAGGTGGGCAAGCAGCTACAAGCTTTCAAGACCGTGGCTGTGCAGAGGATGAAGTCTATGGAGGCCCAGGCCAACTCGGCCCAATGCGATGTGTGCAAGTGGTTGTGGGACATGGTTGAGCAACGTGCACCCCCTGTCGAGCAGCTTGAGAAGCAATTGGAGAGTGTGTGTGCTATGGCACCCACAGAACAGCAGGACCAGTGCAAGGATGCGGTGACTCAGATCGAGGATCAGTACAGACAGGGCATATCCATGACCCCCCAGGAGGTTTGCGAGAAGCTGCAGGTGTGCGCGGTTGAGACCCCTGTCATCCGTCAGCTACTTCACGCTATGAAGGAGGAGTAAGGTGCGCTCGTTTGGTATCGTGATATGTCTGTTTCCACGCTCTGTTGGTGACGGATATGAGGCCTGTTTCATGTCGAAGCTGGTCGATTCTATGTTATCTAGATACTCATGCGCATATAAGTGCCTTTCAAATAAAAAGTGTTAATGAACTGGTCGTCAGTAAACTATCGTTTATAATTTCGTATTCAAATCGTGGTTGGTTTTTGGGAGGTTAGACAAGCGGCTTTACGGCATGTTAGGCTGCTTTGCTCTGAGGGATGTTTTGTTGATCTCTCTTGATGTGCTGAGATATGCGGATGTCAAATGCTGTAGCTTGTGGTACTAATCCTCCGAGACTGTTCTCTGGATCGTGAGGTGTCCATCCCTCAACTTCGGGAAGTTCGATGTCCTGCGAATCGGAAGAGCAGATAGGTTAGATACAACATTCTACAGAAGAGCAGAAAAGTAAGATACAATATACTGCACAGAATGATTCTAAGATTGCAGTTTAGTTGTTGAAACACCACGAATAGTACTGTTCGGAATTCAGAAAGGTATGGCACGTGAACATGATTTTGAAAAAGCGAGACGGTCTCAAATAACTCGCAGTTCGTTCGCTTACCCTCGCTTTCAAAGCCTCATTTATGGCCTGTATTATATTGGCTAGTCTTTTGAGTTCGACTTTCTGATACGCGTTCCGCTCGTTCAATAGGAATTGCTCCTGCTTGAGGTGTTGTAGTTCCATTTTCAGAGTGTTGATGGTCTTGACCTTCTCTTTTAGGTCGTTGTATACCCTGGCCTTCACGCCCACGTCCTGCCCGCATAGGGAAAAAGCAATCAATTTTACATGTGATATTAAGTTGCATGGCAGTTCAAATAAGGTGTGTACCTTGAAATAGCAGATACAAATATATACAATTTTATCACGTTTTCAGCGACGTGTCTGGCTTGTGGGAATACAAATATTGAGAATTAACATAAGACGTGCACAAGCTTTCAAATTCGAATCGCAAGTGTTGCATATAGTGTCGACTGCATCTTGTAATATTTTGGGGCGGCTGGTCTGGCATGCGCCAAGTGCAGCATGTGCACAGCTGAGAGTTAAGCGCCAACCATCCAGGAGTGAGTGCAAGTGCCTGATGGTCGAGTAGCATCAGAAAGTGGTCAGTGGTCCCCATGTACTAGGCCACATACTTCTATCGATTCAACCGACTGCAACAGAATCAGGCCAAAATTGGTATCATCTGGGGATAAGTTAATGTCTTCCAAGTTTAGGACGTCGTCGGCCAGTGACACGGGCCGCGACTGGCCCTGTCGGTGAGCGCACATGCGGTCCAACGCCCCGCTTGTCTTGGAAAATCAGTTTTTGATTGGACAGGTGAGATTTCGAGGTGGGAATGTAGAGGTGTGCGCGGTTGAGATCCTTATCATCCGTCAGCTACTTCACGGTTAGGAAAAAGTAGAAAGTGCACTCGTTTGGTAGCGTGTTATCACTGATATGTTAATTTCTAAGCACTGGTGGGACGAATGTGAGGCTCGTTTCAAACCAGTCGACCACTATGTTATCTAGATGTCTACATAGTGTCCGCCCGATAAAAAAGTCAATGAATTGGTCATCAAGCGAATTATCGGTTCGAATTTCTTTTGTGTTTAAATTGTAAACGCTTTTTTGGTGTAGTTAAAAAAGTGCTTTTGATGTATGCTGGGCTGCCTTACTTTGAGAGATGATGTGTTGACATCTGTGGATTCGATGAGATTGAGATGCCCATGCGCACATAGTGCCCGCCGCATAAAAAGTGTCAAATGACTTGGTCATCAAGTTAGTTATCGTTCATATTTTTGCGTTTAGATTTTTCTTGGTGTTTCGGGTTTGATAGAAAAGTAGGGATTTAACAGTATATTTGATGCTGTTTTATTCTGAAAACGACTTCTCGGGAGTTTGGTGAATTTTGCCGATGTCAAACTCTACAGTAACACGCTCAATTCTTTATTCTTTAGTGTAGTTAATTCCTTTTTAAAAACGAGGCTTCTTTTTAATCTGGCACATCGATTGAATCCACTCGCCATATCTACTGTAAAATTGTATCGCTTAGGTATATTTTGAATCGTTATTGTTAGATCGAAACTGTACTCTTAATTTTAATGCGGAAATCTCCTACATGTTATTATCTATGTATATTGAGGAGCTATCTGTCCATACTAGCCAAGTGTTCTGGTGGTATGTTTATTTACTGCCATGCTTCTATCTTTGATCTCTATATCAGCTTGTTGCCCGAGGATACGTCCGTGTCCTAACCTAAACTGGGCACAGAGGTCAATATGTGTCGGTATATCATTTGCGTCCGTCTGCGAGTACATTTCAGTGGGCGACTACCTCTAGTAGCTTGTAGCACTATCACAGCTTGTGGTACTATTGCTCCGCGTAAGGGTCACTGGCACGTCAGGTGCCCATCCCTCCATTTCGGGAAGAATGATGCCCTACGAATTGGGAGAGCAAATTGTTTAGATACGACATTTTGCAGAAGAGCAGAAAAGTTAGAAACGAATTTTCCCAGAGAATGATTCCTAAATAATAGTTAAGTTGAGGAAAAACCAGGATATTCTTGATATAACTTTACGTCGTACTGATGTATGTAGTACTGTTCGGAATCAGAACGAAGTCCAATGAATAAGGTCTCAAATAAATCGCAGTTCGTTCGCTTACCCTCGCGTTCAAAGCCTCGTGTATGGCCTGTAGGTGGTTGGTGAGTCTATCGAGTTCGGCTTGCTGATCCGCGATCCGCTCGTCTAATAGTGAATTGTCCTGCCTGGCGTGCTGCAGTTCTAGTTTCAGGGTGTTGATGGTCATCTCCTTCTGCTTTAGGTCATTTTTTATACTGGCCTTCACTTCCTCGTCCTGCATAAAGATACGGCAAGGCAAATTTACTAGGACAGTTTAGATGCATGGCGATTCATCCAACGTGTATACCACGATATAGCATGCACAAATATGTACTTTATCACGTTATCAGCGACGTGTCTGTCAACGGCTTGTGGGAATATAAATATTGAGAGTCAACATAAGACGTGCACAAGTATTCAAATTCGAAGCTTAAGTGCTGCATATAGTGCCGACTGCATCTTGGAATATTTTGGGGCGGCTGGTCTGTCATGCGCCAAGTGCAGCATGTGCACAGCTGAGAGTTAAGCACCAACCATCCAGGAGTGAGTGCAAGTGCCTGATGGTCGAGTAGCATCAGAAGGTGGTCAGTGGTCCCCATATACTAGGTCACATACTTTCAACGAATCAACTGACTGCAACCGAATCAAGCTCAGACTAGTATCATCCAAGGGTAGGGTGTGGTCTTCCAAGTTTAGGAAGTCGTCGGCCAGAGTCGCGGTTTGCGCCAGGCCGTGTCGGTTAGTGCGCATGTGGTCTAACGCTCCGTTCTCCTGGAAAATCAGAGAATTGATTGGATAGGGTCGCTCAGTCAGAATTTGAGGTACGAAGGCCATGTCAACTGGCAAGGAACTTTGGATACCAAAGGTATCAAGTCGCTGCTTTGAGCGACACAGTAGGCGCGACACGCATCGTCTACTTTCGAGGAGATGCCTATGTTCCGTTTACTGCTCCGATCGATCTTTTTCATCACTTCAATGAGTCGGAGTAGCGGTTGAGGAAAGGAACGACGCGAGATAGAATACGAAAGTCATTGCATGGCTTCGTCCAGAGCTTATAAACACGAGCTCTAATAGGTAGTCATTGCGAGTGACAAAATAACATACTTCAGATTCGTCAACGGTCGCTCTTCTCTCGTTGGTTGGTTGAATGGTACGATGTGACTGTATAATCTGGCGCGTGAGCCTCTGTTTCTGCTCGCGATAATCGGCGATGATGGCATCCTGCATTTCTATTCTAATTCTCATCTGAAAATTGCAACCAAAGGTTGGAATGAGAAAAACTATGTTGCCAATTGTGGTGGTATGCTAGTTTGAGTTAAAAATCAATGGCAAATATATTTGCGTCTGCAATTCTTAATGTTCAAGTGACACTGGATTGCAGAGAATATATATATATATATATATATACACATATATATATATATACACACACATACATACCCATACACATACACACACAAACATATACATATATATATATTTACACCCACACATATATATATAGATATATACATACATACATACATACATACATACATATATATAGTATATATATAGATATATAATAATATATAGATATATAATATACATACTATGTATAATATATATATATATATATATATATATATATATATATCTATGGTTGCATCTCATTGATCATACAGCAAGCCATAGTACAGCTACCTCTCTTTCTTGTCCCGCCATTTCTTGTTCTGTCATGTCGCCCTTCAATCGTAGGGCTTCTATTTGGGCTTGCAGTTCATTGACCCTTGGATGATTCGACTCCAGCTCGTCCACCCGCATTTGTAAGGCCTTGAATCAGAATATGGAGGATACATCCGAATTGAGACTGTATCACCTTATTGCAACTCACGGTACATGGGATGTGCTCGGATGATGTTACAATCAATCTCGAAATAATTAGCCTCAAGTCACCGTAGGTGATGAGCATGAAATTATTCTAAAGCTCAATGCATGAAGCCTTTTATACCGAGGTAGAAGAAGGATCTGCCCTTTTTAGATACAGGACACTATCGTCCGGCTGGGAATGCAACACATGCATATTGCAGACATGAAAGCTTCTGATCAAACTTCATTTCTGACATTGGCAAGGGTATATGTAACTGCTTGCTGGTTGTTGTGGTAATGAATATACTATTATCAAGGAGGCGTGTTGCATTGATTGCCGTGTTGACCTCACATATGAACAATCCACGATGTTGGTTTGTCGAAAGGTCCCAAAGCAAATGCAGATATGGTCGACAACATACCTTAATTTCATCCTTGTATCGCTGCAAAATCGAATCATCCAGCTGCACGTGTTACAAATGATACTAGAGTGAGTACGATCCCAAAAAAATTGTCGGGGAAAGACCAAAAATCACACAATCAACGTGATTAGACCTTCTATGACATACATTCGGGCAAAGTATGGGGAACACCAAGATTGTCACGTTCCTGATCAATCAGCTGAGCTGTGTACTAGACCATTTTGCTATATAATCAATATGCCACAGATTTGCATTGCAATAGTTGGCTATACTAAAGGTTTCCACTAGAACAGTGCCTACCGTATATTTTGCCTTGGCAACAATCGGCCGACATACCTGGTTAATTTTAGCAGCGGTTTTTATTTTTTTGGCCCCTTGCGCGAACAACAGGGACTTCTTGCTCTCATCGAAGCACCTCTGGAAGTTTAATCGGTAAAAACAAATGAAGGTAGAAACGACGCCCGAGGCGGAATTCGTGAGTCAGGCAATTGACTTACTCTGCGCTGAAATTCAAAATACATTGCTTGTATTATAGGTACTGAGCCAGATCATCATAGGTACGGAGCTTCCAGATTGTATATGAAAGGCGAGATGTACTTACCACAGTAGGATTTATAGTGGTGATCATCGCAATTCTTGCATTTCCGGTTAAAGAGTTTTGCAGTAAGCGTGTCAGCTTCGAGTCCCTATACGGTATATGTGTGCTGCAAGAAAACCATAAAATGAAAGTTAAGAATTGCTAAAGAAGTTTTGAATCTTCTTGAAGGAAGAGCCACTATACTCCTCACATGTTGACCGGGGCAGGCAACGCACGACGTCGGAAGTACTCAATAGAGATCACACATGGCATCAACCACTCAGTATACAATACCCTCAGTAGGACTTGAACTCTTTAGAAAGGACACCTGATTTGGATAAATCCAGCCGAATCTAATGATCACGTGCACAACTGTACCTGGTGCCCGAGCTGAGTTTCATAATCACAGTTCCGAGCGTCAGCAAACTCTTATTGATAAACTGTCCTTCCCTAAAGCGAGCAGCATCATCAGCTGCTTTCTCCGAGCCCGCCAGATCGATCAGATTCTAAGTGGCGAAGGAGGTTACAAATTTAAACATAATATGAAATCATAAAATCCTTATTCCAAAATCTCAAAAACCACTTCAAAAACACACCTTTTAAGTACACACGGCGAGTGTCTGAGTGCGCATCACACCAGATGCACGCATATACCATATTCTCTCTCCAAAAGCAGGCACACAAAATATATACACTAATACACTCACAAAGACACGCACACAAACATACACGCACATATATATATATACTTATAGTACACACACCACACACATACACACACACACACAAACTTTATATATATATATATAAATACACACACACACACACACACATATATATTCATATACACATATATAAACATACTTGTAATTCACACACACACACATATATATATACATAAATATAAAAATGCATATGCATAAATATATATACATACATACATACATACATACACACACACATATATATATATATATAAACACAGACATATATATAAACACAGACATATATATATATACATATATACATATACACATATACACATATACACATACACACACACACACACACACACATATATATATATATATAGATAAATATAGATATACATGTATCCATAGGTATGTGCATATGTTATATTCGAGTGTATACATATACACCTAAAATAACGCTTGGTTCAGCATTTCTGTAAATACTCACCAGGACGGACACCCTGACATTGCTGGGCTCTTCTTTCTTGGCCTGTTGTCCGTATCCGCTCGACTGTCCCTTGGCACGCACAGGTCTCGCAGCAGGATCGATTTTGTTGCGCTCAGGCGAGGGTGTGGCGCACGGGGTGACTCCGGCAGGCCGACTCTCGATGATCTACATTGTAAATACGACGTGAGGTATTGAATTGCAAACAGAGACGAAGCGGAAAGAGTCGATGTTGTGTAGCTATACGTGTGTATATTGTCAACAAAAACGAATGTAGTTCAACGATTTGACTTCCCACTGGAGCGTAAGATGAAGTTCAAATATAAATCTCAAAAAAAATCTTAAAGGCGAAGGTGGAGTGGAGGTACGCTGCTCTGTCGTATCACATGTCAGCTTTGGATATGCGCTCATAATAAGTACACTTCATATCATGAAAGGTAAATGTCTCCAGATTATGCAAACGACTGGATTTTCCAGCCACCCGCGCGCAACAGTTTCGCGACTCCTTGCAATTGAGAAGAAACGCACAGGCCTTCACACACACCAAGTCTCGTTTCAGTACACAAGCACAATGCAAGCCTTCCATTCATAGCTTTGCATGACATGCACAATTTTAGGAAAAAATAAACACCACCTGCAACGAAAGTATATCATAATGTACACATAAGCGCGCATTCACAACCATCATGTGCAGTTGAAGCATGTATAGATTGTTAACGGTCCACCTAGACCTACCAGCTGCAAAATGGTATGAGATCGACTACTGAACGAGTTGTAGTTGGTACGTCCGACATGCCTGTGGGCCTCACCAGAGGCGACGAGAGGCATCACGTGCTCATAGGAGGTTACTGTATGTTATTTGTATGTGTACGGCATGAAATACACACATTGTGTGATATGGTCAGTTTTTGATCAACGCTGAAGCGGGTAAATGATTTTTGTTTCGACGAGTCTGCGATGCGACAGCGATTATGCGATAAATGTTTGAAGCAACAAACAGCAGCATAAAAACTCCAACTCACGCAGTTTTTAGAGACAATTTACAATAAATAAATAAATAAAAAAATGGTCCTCTTACCTATTTGTTCTTTGATTCCGGCGACGATGATGCCTCTCTGTAAGGTAAAGGTGCGGCGAAATCCTTTAAGGCAGTGCGATGACAATATTGAGAAGATTATGATAACTACGCCGTAATGTACAACCGACATTCAGCATCAATACAAGTGATATATTTGTGACTTTCGAGTCGAAATTCTGCATGATGACAGTCGCATAAGGTAACACACATACATCGAGAGAGGACATATTTGTAAACACAACACGTACCGTTTTGTGCGCGACCAATTTCAATTCAGGTGCCGCGGGATCCAAAAGGTCGTGTATGGCTTCATTGTATATCTCAATATAAGACACCCTGAAGCGGAATATTATGAAACAACTTCACTTCATTGTACATCTCAATATAGACACCCTGAAGCGGAATATTATGAAACAACTTTACTTCAATGTACATCTCAATATAAGATGCCCTGAAGCGGGATATTATGAAACAACTTTAATCCGCGAGTAGCGCTAAAACATATCGCACCAATCACTGCAAAAAAGCATGAGTTTCAATTCAACTATATCAAGACATCATACCGCAAGACGTATTCACGGCCAGGATACTCCTCGATATACGAGAAGACATCTTTGAGTGCCTGTGGTATGAAACCAGGTTCCTGCTTGATTCCTGTACATAAAAGTAAGAAGTGTTGCGATTTGTGTATGCCGTGCGAAAGCCGCAGTCAAAGTGTCAATATTGAAGCGAGTACGAACTGGAAATTCAATGAGGAGGTACCTTTCATTGTGTGCGTCTTCCCGGAGTTCGTCTCTCCGTATGCGAATATCGTAGCTGCGAACGCAAATAATGAAATGTGCAAACGATGTATACATTAGTTATGCTGTCGATGGCTTCTCGAACGATGCTATATAATCATTGACACCCGCGTGCACGCACAATTCAGATGAACAGCACAAGGCACCAGAGGGTGCGACAGCGACATACAATTGTACCCCTCCATTGCGGCGGTAACCATGCTCTCTCCAATCTCATCGTATATCTCCTGCGTCTTGTGACCATTGTATACTTTGTCTGTGGAAGCAAAAAAACTGTATCTGTTATCATTGGCAGAAGAAGTGTATTCAAGGCAGAGAAAGGGTCTCTTCTTACAGTCGAAGTATCCGTGACAAATCTCACGCGCACAAGAGCGTCGCAATACGATCAAGTCTCCAGATTGACTTACCAAATACGAACGATGGCAAAGGTTTATTTTTATTGCTGGGATCCGTATACGGCCTCCTTACAATACTATTATGTGTAGTCCTCCATGCTGTCTCCTGCTTCTGTACGATCTACACAGAGGGAATCAGTTTGAACAAACATCCTAAATATGACATGTGAAAAAAAGGGAATTCGAAGTCAAGCACCTTAGCCCTCACAGCGCACCTCCGCACAACGCGCCTACCTGTATTCAGATGTACAGATAAATTCCTGCACCCATAGTACACAGAAATGACAATGGAAGCACACATGAATATATAACTGATAGGGGGTTGCATAGAGGTTAATATTTAGGGTTAAACCGCAAAAAACCTGTTAGTTTTGGTTTACTTGCATGTGAGTACAAAAACGCAGACATTTTTATATCAATTTGTGAATTGACATATGCTATATATATATATATATATATATATATATATATATATATA